GTCGATCCACATGTCTGTCTTTCTCAGACGAAAACAAAAAATGTGACCCCAATCAGAGAGGCTTTAGAGAGCTGTGTGCCCTCCAGACCTGGCAGGGGTCTGAGCCAGGGCTTTCCATAAGGTTCCACGGGGTCAGGAAGACGCACAGACAGAATCCTAGTGGCCACCTAGGCACATACTGCCTCTGCCAGGTAGAGTCCAAGGGGAGGGATCAGCCAAGGGGCTGACCTAAATGACTTCTCTGAGCATCTCTGAGAAGAGGGCTCTGTGGGATCTTTCTGGAGGCAAAGGCTCCACCATGTAACTGAGACTTCAAATCCATTGCCACCTGAGTGCCCGTGTTAGGAACACCAGTGTTCCCTCGCAGTCCGGCTCCGAACCTCAGAAGCTGAAGGTGAAGGAGTCTCACGGCTCCCGGGCTGTGGGCTGGCAAGTCCCATCCAGATGTGCTTCCATCAGAGCCCATCTCAGGGGCTGACCACGGCCTTTCTTATGCCCAGCGCTCTTCGATCCGAGGAGAAACTAAGCCTCAGGGAGGCAAAGCCACCAGGGTCAAGAATGTTCTAGAACCCAGAAGGCTTGCCTGTCCTTCCAACCATCCCCCAAGTCCAGCAGCTTTTTCTTTGCCACTGTTTCTTGGACAGTAGCTAGCCTGTCGTGCCTACTTGCAGAAACACCCCCTGCTCCCCCCACCCAGGCTCAGGCATGGATCTGCTGGAGCCAGGTGCCTGGCAGCCTGTCAACACAAACAAGGTCCCCTGCGCCTCGCCCCAGCTCTACACAATGCCCAGCTGTACTCCAGTGTGGTTTAAATATGTGTGCTGCCCTGGTCTTTGTTAGTTCTTGCGCGTTGTGTTGGAATGCCTAACAGTGCAAGGCTTGCACCCCAGTGCCCAGCTTCCAGACCCACGCTGAACCGGAAGGGGAGCCCTACCGAGGCTGGGGTGCAGAGGGGAATGGGGCTGAGCCCTGGTGCTGCATGATGTGGCAGTTGGTGTTCTGCATCCATGTGTGGCATGCAGGCCCCTGGCCCCCGGAGTCCTGCTCCCACCAGCACTGGCCGAGGTCCCTGCCTGGGCAGAGCAGGCCAGCTCATCTAGAGGGAGGGGCATGGTCTTAGGTACCCAGCTGGCACCAGGAGGGGGAGTTGCAGACCTGGGCCTCCTGAAAAAAAGTCTTGAGGTTTGGGGATGCAGTCAGGGTGTCTGTCAATCGCCTGGGACTCGCCCCTCACCCCTAACAACAGCTGTCCCTGGTGCAGGGGCCTTGCAGCCAGTGTGTCTGCGTCCGTGATGGCTTCCCGAGTCTTGGGCAGGACGAGGTCCCAGCACAAGCAGGTTTCCTGCTCTGCTTAAGTCACACAGGGCGTGACATTTCAATGGAGACTCCAAGATGTCTTCTGTTTGTGGTCCCGCTCATGTCACCTGACACGGGGGCAGTTCTGGACCAGTGCGAGAACTCTCATCTTCCACATGGGACACTGGCATGTGATTCCTGGCATGTGTGCCTCATCGTACCCACCACCTATCGGTCAGTGAAGATTTGCATGTCACGATGATGTTGGACAGATTTCAGTGGAGCTTCGGGACCGAGACAAGCTAGGAAGAAAAGCCTGGCCGTCAACTTGTGAAATTCAGTCAGTGAAACGCCTACAGCTCACAAGAGTCTGGTGTGTAACTGATGGCAGGGATGGCGCGGAGGCAAACAGCCAGGTCCCCAGCAGTCAGGAGCAGACTCGATGGCAGGTAACAACAACCTCACTGACGGGTCACTAGCCGCTGATGTCACTTTGCAAAGCGGCCTTGTGGCTAAGAGAGGAGTCACTGACTCCAAGGGCCCTGTAGGACCTGGAGTCTGACCCCCCCTAGTCCAGGGGATGCATCACAACAGCTCTGGGTCTTACATGGGGGCCAGATGTGCCAGCGAGAGGCTCCAAGAGAGGCAGTAAGACTTCAGCGTGAAGCAGGTGGGATGTGGGGCCAGGAACGGAAGATCGCAGACCTCGTTTCTCAGCCTCTCACCTCTGCTCCATCTCTCCCCCAACACACACACAGCCCCTCACAGCGACTGCTCCTACCCTCTGCCACCTCCCCAATGCCAAGGGCAATGCCATGAACACGTCAGAGCCCCCAGACAAAGAGAAGAACATCCTGAGGCTGTCGCTCCTACACAGACACTTGGACAAAACCGCCCAGTGGGACCAGCTCCCTCCTAGGGCAGTGCTGTGGGTGGGTCAGCACCTTGGTCAGCAGCGGGTCCCAGGTGACCCTGGAGGGTGGATGGAGGAGATCACCCCACCGGCTGCCCCCGTCTGAATGAACCAGCTCCTGAGAACCAGAGCCTGTCCAACCGGGAGCTTGGGCACCCTGGCCCCACCGGGCCTTCTGACATGCCTGCCTTCCCACAGGAGAGGCAGAGCTGCCGGGACCCACCCAGCAGGAGACACTGCACTGTCCTCAGGATCTGGGCCTCTAACCTGGGCCTCACCGGCATATGCAGTTTCCTGGGGCTGTTTAACTGTTTCCCACCTCTTGTCTACCCCTAATGACTCTGGATGCCACCTTCCTCACAAGTGTTCCTGGATCCATCGCCGCCCCCCGCTTCATGGGATACAGACAGGTAGGTTGTGCACTGCACAAAACTACTTCATCAAAGGGAGTGATTGATGGCCTCAACTTGTATATTCATAAAGACTTGTATACTGAGGGTCTAGACTTGAAGATTTTTTCCATAAAGGGGGGGGGGGTTGGTAACAACTTTTCCTAATTTAGAAGAAAAACGATGCTTTCTACTCCCGTCAATGGAAAAATCACACCAGCCTGTGTGATCGTGAGGTGTCGATGGGGTCAGGTATCAGGCATCAAAGACCCAGAACAAAAAGTTTCATCAATGGGAGTGAGGGGGAGTGAGGACTGGAGACCCAAAGCCCAGCTGTAGACGATTAGATATCCCCTGACAGAAGAGTCACAAGGAAGATACGAGCCAGTCAGGGTACAGTACCCATGAAACATACAACTTTCCTCTAGCTCTTTATTGCTTCTCCCCCCCACTATCATGACCTCAATTCTACCTTACAAGCTCGGCTAGACCAGAGCATGTACAGTGCTACAGATAAGAGCTCAAAACACAAGGAATCCAAAACAGCTAACCCCTTAGGACCAATAATGAGAATAGAGATACCAGGAGGGTAAGGGTAAGGTGGGAGGAGAAAGGGGGAACCGATCACAATGATCTACCTATAACCCCCTCCCTGGGGGGGATGGACAACAGAAAAGTGGGTGAAGGGAGACAGCGGTCAATGTAAGACATGGGGAAAAATTTTTAAAATATATACATTATCAAGGGTTCATGAGGGATGGAGGGTGGGGGAGGGAGGAAATGAGGAGTAGATACCAAGGGCTCAAATAGAAAGAACATGTCCTGTAAATGATGATGACAACCAATGAACAAATGTGCTTGACACAATGTATGGATGTGTGGATTGTGATAAGAGCTGTAAGAGCCCTCAATAAAATGATTTTTAAGAACGAGTAACCGTCTTGGAGAGGCGCAGGGGCAGTCCTTGATGGCAACGTGTGTATTATGTATCGTCAGAATGGACTCAATGGGTTTGGGTTTTTCCTACTTTTTGCAAAGGGGACCTGGGGATGCGGCCTGGCCCCCTGCCTCTGCTCCCCACAGCACATGGCTTTTACCCAGTCCCCGTAGAGGCCCTCTTCAATTCACGCTGGCTCTGTGCCGCACCCCACCCCCTGTCCACCCCGACTGCAGACCTGGGGAGAGGAGGGGCTGCTCCTCCTTTCTTCTCCACTCCCTGCCCAGGCCTGGACACGCCGACCCTCCACAGTGGGGTTGGACCATGTCAATATTTGCTGATTGGGTGGAATGGGGGATGCAGACGTCTCCAGAGTCAGCCTGGTAGGAAGGTGGGCAGAAAACTGGAGGAAAGGGGGCTGAGGGAGCCCCATCCGGGTGGGCGGGGTGGCGGGGTGGTGGGGAGCGGGGCAGGTCAGTGGGCCTGGTCCCCTGTCCCTTCCTAACAAGAAGACTGACGAGGGCAGTGACAGTGGCGCTGATGGGCAGGCACAATAACATCTCAGGTCCTCGCCCCGTCTGCCCTGGGGCCCGGTCACCTATGGGCCTGTCTGTCCGAGGAGGGGAAGTGGAGCGGCAGAAGGAGCTTTAGGGGCAGAGCCGGGCCTGGGACCTGGTATGGGGTGGACACCCAAGTCTGTTTCACTACAAAGCCAGCCGCACCTGGAAGCCACCTGCATTTATTATTAGCTCGGGAACTGTGGTCACCCTCCCCAGCTGCGGCCTCTCTCACCTTTGGGTCCTGGTCCAGGAGCCCCACCAAGCCATCTGTGGAGCCTCTTTGGCTTATTGAGTTGGCTGCCGACAGGCAGGAAAAGTACAGGGCAGGCCCCGGCCCCGGCGTGGGGCCTTGCAGGGCAGGAAGGAGGCAGGTTCAATGGCATGGCCTGGCTGTGAAGCCGTACTGAGCACAGGTCCCTCCCAACTGCAAGGCCAGAAGCCCCGGGAGGTAGCCGATCTCGCACTCTGCTCACTCCTGGACCCTCAGTGCTCGGCACAAAGGAGCCATTGACTGAGGGTCTTCACAATGAAGGAATGTAAGGGACTAGGTTTTCCACGCCCTAGGAGGACCTTCTGGTGGGGAGAGGCAGGGTGCCTGTCCAGGGAGAGGAGGAAGGAAATGCCACGTCACCCCATCCCCCACCACAAGATGAGGTCCCTGCCATGGGAACTCAAACACCTGGCGGCAGGGGAGCTCCTTGAAGGCAGTTGGATGAGGCAGGCAGGGGAGGCTGCCTCAGCAGAGGGACTGGGCGCCCCACCTGGCAGCCCTCTCCAAGGCCAGCCAGAAGCTTCCTCGAGCGGTTCAGGAAGCCTGCTCCCAGCTGACCAGCTTCTATCCGCCTGAAGCGGGTGCCCACAGCAGAGCTCCTCCAACCTCCAGCTTCTCGGCCCCCAGCACTCACCTGGTCTGGGCGGGCACGGGGAACACGAGGTCACCCCCCAGAAGGCTCCGATGCTGCCACAGCAATCCTCTTGGGCCGTCAGCTCCAGCAGGGGGTTGGCACACTGGAAAAAAGGCCAAGGCACTGAGGCCCCTCTTCCTCCCCCTGCTGGGCGGGAGAGGCTCCTGGACAGTCCAAGGCAGGAAGCTCATCCGTCCCGCCCCACCCTGCAAGTTCCTCTGGAGGCAGGAAGGGAGGCAGCCAGGACCCAAGGTCCCCTGCACCAGACACGATGACCCTGCCGACTGGGGGAAACATGTTCCCCACCCCACGCACAAGGCCTGCCTGTGCTGACCTGGGCCTCTCACGCCACCATCCCACAGAGCCCCTGCTCTCCTCCCTTACATCCCACCACCTCCAGTATCACCGCAGTGCAGACCTCTCTGTGAGCAGGGACCAGGCACCCACAAGCTGAGGGCCCAGACACCCCGTTCTCCCCTCCTCCAGTTCCCTAACCTCAGGGGAGGGTTTGGGTCATGGTGAGTGGCAGCCCCTAGGACCCCCCCAGCCCCTGGGCCTGGCCTCATGAAAGTGCCCTGCGTTGCCCTCACCGGCTGAGCATTCCTGCGGGGCCCGAGGGTTCGCTCAGCCTTGCACCCAGTGCTCAGGGGTGACCTCCGGCTTGCAGATTTCACACCTCTGTACCCCAGTCTCTGTTGGATGCAGCCTCCTGCCCATGTGCCAGGCACCGTAACCCAGATCCCAGACTGCCCTCACTGCCAAGGAGTCTGGAGCCCAGGCAGGGGGTCCAGCCCCTCCACTCTCGGGCTTTGCTTTCCAGACATGGAAGGCTCTGAGACCCCTTCTGAGGGCAGCTGCAGCAGGGGGGCAGGGCAGGGGGGGTGGGCGATCCCAGGCTGGAAGCCTCAGCATTAAGGCTGCTACATTCTCACCTGCCCACTCACGGCACTCAGGTAACACCGGCCCAGCAGTTCCCGAGGCCTGGGTGCTGCAGGGGGCAGTCGGGGCAGCAGCCGAGGGGGCCCTCCGGAGCGCGTGGGGATGCTGTTGCTGTCCCAGTGGCCGTGGCCCGGGCTGGTGGGGAGCGGGGCCAAGCGTCTGGCCTCCACGCTGTTCTCCTCGGGGGCTTCAGCCCGCACCCTTGCCACCTGATGGATCTGCACGGAGGCCTCCGGCGGGTGTCGGATGTGCACGTTCACCAGAGAGGGGTTCACGAAGTCTAGGCAGAGAGGCTGGCATCAGAGCAGGGCCCAGGGCCCTCCTCCCTCCCCGTCCTCCCTGTGTGGAGTGCTGGCCAGCCCCGGACAGGGTGGGGCTTCTCCACTCCCCACTGAGAGCCCAGGGGACCACTCCCCGTGAGGACCAGATGGGGCACAAACCCCTGCACTCGAGGTCCCCAGCGAGGGACCTTCATCGTCACGCCCCAGCTACTTGGTACAATCTCAGAGCCCGGCAAAACTGACCCCTGCAGTGGTCACAGTGACCCCACTGAGGTCGATGTCACCCACTGTCACCCACTGTCACCCACTGTGGTACTTCAGCATCCATTTAAATCATAGACTAAATGTGAGCGTTGGCCGTTCCTTAAGTCGGTGGTTCTCAACCTGTGGGTAGCGACCCCTTTAGGAGTCAAATGACCCTTCCACAGGGGTCGCCCAATTCACAGGGGTAGCAAAATGAGTGATAAAGTAGCAATGAAAATAATGTTATGGTTGGGGGTCAGCACCACACGAGACACTGTATGAAAGGGCTGCGGCATGAGGAAGTGGAGAAGTACTGGCTTCAGTAATACACTTCTTGGATTACTGGATGACTCAGAGTGGAGTCCAACCCACAGGGACCCTACAGGACGGAGAAGAACTGCCCGTGTGGCTTTCTGAAGCTGACAATCTTCACAGGAGTAGAAAGCCTGATCTGTTTCTTCTCGGAGTGGCTGGTGGTCTCAAACGGCTGGTCCGGGGGTTAGCAGCCCGACGTATTACCCTCTACCCCCACCCAGGCTCCCTACAGACGGAGGGGGTGGTGGAGAAATGTCTTTGCTGATATTCCTTTCTCCACCCATCCAGCACCGTGGGCTCCTGTCGGCAGCACCCTGCCCTGACCTTGTCCTGTCTCAGCTCCTGGCCTCGGGGGAAGGGCAGACACTGTGGGTGAGATTTGGAAGGGAGGGGGGAGAAGACCAGTCACAGCTCCCGCTTCCCTCCTGGCTGGCACTCACCGAGCTGGTTGGAGAGAGGCAATGTGAAGGTGGACTGCTTCAGGGGGCTTTCCAGCAGGGCCCCGTGTTGCGAACCCTCCTCTGGGGGCTTCCTGTCCAGCCTTGGGGCAGGCAGGTGGCAGAACTTGCCAGTGGAGTTGGTCGGGCACCAGCACTCATCCCTGCCAATGCAGCGGCCTCCACTCATGCAGGGTATCTGGCAGAAATCTGAAACCCCGACCCTCAAGGTGACTGGGGTTGGCAAATGACAACAGAGAGGGAGGTGGGGGTGGGGGCAAGGAAGACCCCCCACAATCTGAAGGCATGGGAAGCCAGGCACCCCTGCAGTGTAGAACCAGGCGTAATGAAAGCCAACCTTTGCCTTTCTGAAAAGCCACTTACGAACTCCCCCATTTCTCTATGGAGGAAACTTGGGCTCAGAGAGGTTAAGTGCCTTGCCCAGGGTCACACAGCTAGGTAGTCCTGGCCGAGCTGGGTGAGGACTTGGCTCCTCGTATGATCTGGGAACTGCTCAGGGGAGGCAAGTTAGGAACAGTGGGCTCCCTTCCTACAGGGAGCCGGGCTCCAGCCCAGGGCACTCACAGATGCGGAAGCCGGATTTGGGGTCATGTCCATGGCCGCCCTGGCTGTACAGGGTGGTGGTGTTGCCACGCTCACAGCTGTTGGTGCAGTGCCCTCGGGCACAGGTCTGCTTGCAGATGGTGGGGGTGAAGATGATCTTGATCTTCTTGATTTTCTCAGTGAGGTTCAGCCCTGCAGAGAGAGGGCTTGGGTCCAGGGGCAGGGCTGAGAGGCACTGCCAGGACCTCCAGGACCCAGTGAAATGGGTTCACAAGACTAGGGCAAACCTTGGTGAAATGGACAGCCCAACGCACCCCAGCTCCTGCTCCTGCACATTAAGTGAGCGCCCAACCCTCTTGAATAAGCAGTACTTCGGCTGAGCCACTGGGAATCAGCAATTTCCACATGTTCTCCCGACTATTTCCATTCTCCAGCTAAGGAACCCGAGGCTCACGGAAGTTAAGTGGCTGGCCCCCAGACACCCGGCTAGCAAGTGCTGCAGCTGGGTTTTAAAATCAAGAACAGAGAACAGAATGCAGTTCAGGCTTGCGGGTGTTGGGAGTCTTCTAAGAGAGATGTGGGGAAGAGAAAACCGGAAAGGATTCGTGGAGTTAAGGGTTGGGGTGGCGTTGACTGCTAGGAGGAGACACCGTATGTGATGGGTAGCGGGGCCAGTCATGGAAATGTTTTCCATCAAAGAGGAAGTGCCGGAGGACAAATTCCCAGCCCAGCCGTAGTGTGGAGGGTGCACGGGGTGGCCCGTTGGGGGGTCACTCCCAACAGCAGTGCAAACTGAGGGCACTTCGTTTAATGAGGGTGGTGACACGGACATGAAGAGCAAGCGCCCTGATTCACATGAGAGGATGGGAAGGAGGAAGGCGAGGAAGGGTGGAAGTGTGGAAAGGTTACGTGGCCGCAATATAAGGCAGTTGACTCTGCGGGGTGAAGAGAATAGAGGATTCTTCCGTGTGTGTGTGTGTGTGTGTGTGTGTGTGTGTGTGTGTGTGTGGACATGCATGCTGCAAGCAGGTGCAGAGGCTGAAGGGAAGGTGCTGATAGACAGAGGCGTGTTGAAGACGTAAAAGGGAAACGTCATGGGCCAGCGTTTCAGAGGAAAACGAAGAGGCGTGGAGAAGTGCCATCAACCGGGAGAGGGACAGTGGCAGGAACGGAGGCCATCTGGGGCACAGGCGAGGCGAGAGTTTGGCACAGAGGAGGGCAAGAGATGAGTCGGGAGGGGAGGCTCCCCCCCGGGGTTGGGCAGCACGTCCCCCTGTGCTGGTATGAAGGAAGAGGCCATGTGGGTGGGGATGGGGCTCGGGAACGTGGGAAGGCTTGAGGAATGGAGAGTGAGTGCCAGGCACATGGGGCAGGGTTGTCAGACTAGAACCCAGGTGCAGATGCAGCTGGAGAACCCAGAATTTGCCGTGGCCCGAAGTCGAACAGACGCCCCGTTCTCTCCTGCCATGTAAGCACAAAGAAAACAACTGAGTAGGATTTGCAGGAAGGGTGAGGTGAGAAGAACCGGGGCCTGGGACCCAGGTGAGGTTCCTGGTTGGATACGAAGGAAGCAAAGGCAGGAGGGACGACAGCTTGGGGGGAAATGGACCATCGACGTGGAATAGTCTAAACCAGAGCCAATCCCGTGGAATAGTCTGAACCAGAGCCAATCCCGACCAGCTTGGTGTTTTTTGTTTTTGTTTTTATTCCTGGCAACTGGCACTTGCTTTAGTGCCCAGTAACTGTTTGCTGATTGGCTGAAAGAATGAGGAGGATGGTGAGGGTGGAGGGGGACCCCAAGACAAGGTGTCCTTACCCCAGGGGGACGACAGGTGGCCCAGATATGCTGCCTGCTGAGCACCATGCCTTTGCCCAGGGGCTGGTCCCGCCGGTAGGGCATTGGAAGTCAGCTGGCCAGTGGCAGCAGCAACAGCAGCTGGGTAACGCCGGATGGTCCGGGACAGCCCCACCTGTTGCTGAGAAGGCCGCATCTGGCTGAGCCCACTCAGGGTCCTGTGGAGACAACCAAGTCACAGGGGTTTGTGCCATGGGAGCTGCCTCTCTGCCTGCATCGGCACGCCCAACTCCCTTGTCCTTGTACCAGAACAATGATCCTGCTTGGCCGCAATTCTTGCACACCACATGCCCTAAGCAAGACGCTACCAGCCAATTTGGTAGGAGGGCTGACCGTGCTGTGGACTTAGCTGGACTATTCTCGCAAGATCACTTAATTGTGCTGGCCCTTAGGCTCCTCAACTATAAAATGCAGGAAATAGACTGTTCCCACATAGTTCTGACATAGTAAGTCCTTAAGATCCTTCTTACAGACCCAAAGCCCAAGTCCCGTGTCTCCTTCAATGAGATTGTGAATTTCCCCTGCTCCTAAATGCCGCCTTTAATGCCTATTGACTTGGCCTCCTACAAACCAATGGTCATGGATTGATTTGGGGTGGAGACCAGAACTTCCCTCTTTATCAACTTTGATTGTAAAAATAATACAGTTATAATGTTCAAGAAGAGGGGGGACACGTGGGCCGGGGATCGGGCCCTGGTGGGCCGGGGCCCGGGCTCGGGCCGCGGGGCAAAAAAAAAAAAAAAAAAGAAGAGGGGGGAAAATGAATACACTACCCACCCCCATCCCAACACAGCACACAATCTGGTCTATCGTTCCTTTCAACCATTGCTTACGCATCTGCCTGTACACAATGGCCATCATGTACACCTACAACTTAAATTCCAGGCTTTCACTCCACATTAGCTCATGCTTTATATAATTCCACATTTTTAAGGGGATGTCTTATTGCTCCACTACAATTCCACATTTTTGAATTTATTCTTTTCATCGCTGCCTGATCATTTCTCTGAGATGAACCACAACTTTTTTTCCAAATCTTCTCCTGCTATATAATTGATTTCAATTTTCAGCAAGGGCAGCGGTTCTCAACCAGTGGGTTGCGACCCCTTTGGGGGTTGAGTGACCCTTTCACAGGGGTCCCCCAATTTATAACAGTAGCAAAATGACAGTGATGAAGTAGCAACGAAAATAATTTTATGTTTGGTGGGGGGGGGGTGCCACCACAACACGAGGAACTGTATGAAAGGACTGTGGCATTAGGAAGGTTGAGAACCACTGACCTAAGGTATCCTTGCCCATATGTTTTCTTTTTTCTGTCAAAATATCGTTCCATATGCATAATACACTACATTATTCAGTACATCATGGAAGCTTTCTAGTAGTCTATTTTATTGTGCGGTTGAAATTTTCATAACAAAATTTGTGGGAAAAAGTTCACAGCTTTAGGATTAATTCCTCGAATAGAAGGGCTGTGCCAAAATTACCAACATTCACAGATGCAGGTGTTATTATTGGCCCCTGACTCACGGTGACCCTAAGTCAAATGGGACGGTGAGGTGAACGCTGCCCAGTCCTGTTCCCCCTGTTCCCCCACCCCATGGTTGGTTGCAAATTAGTATACTGCTTTTCCAAAAAGGCGGCACCAACATGTAAAAATGTATCACTTAGAGCACAATCTTTGCCAGAATGAAGGATTATTCATTCTTTTATACTTTGCTAATGGAATACATACGACGAGGTACTTCAATGTTGTTTTCACGTCTGTTTCTTGGAATAAGTCTGAGATTGAATATTTTTTCACATGTCTAGTTACCATGAGGGCCCTGGTAGCACAGTGGGACTACCAACCACAAGGTCAGCGGTTTGAAACCACCAGCCATCTCCTCCCGGCGGTACTCAGTGGATGTCACAACTCGGGTTAGAATCAGCACACAAAACATCCTAGAGAGGGGAGAGTAGTCCCATGTTCTCCCCAGCACCACCTAGCTTTTTGTGATTTTATATATATATATATATATATTTTTTTTTTTTTTTTAATTTTTTTAACTTGACCCTGTAAAGAGCTCTGGCCAAAATGAAAACAAAGGGCTCTTTCTTGGTGCTCTGTTACCATTCTTGTTGTTGCAGACACTGGTTTCTTTTATTAGAACATGTAATGGCACCAAAATCCCTGAGTTCAATCCCTTAAGGGCCAGCAGTTAGCTTTGCAAAGAGAGGAGAGCGGGGTGGGAGAGAAGCCCATGCATTCCCTCATTGTAGATAGGGCCCAGCTGCACAGAGGAGAGAGAACAGACAGATGTTTGGCCTACCTCTTACAAACAGTGTGATCTTGAGCAAGTCATTTAGCTCCCCTGAGCCTCAAGTTCCTCATCAGCAAAATGGAAATAACAATACCGACCCCCTGGGCTGCCACAGAATTCAGGAAAACAGGACCTTGTAAAAGGACGCACGCTGCCTGTTTACAAGAGATGATTTTGCAAACGGAAGTCAATGGTCACAAGTCGGAAAATGGGCCAGAATTTTAAAACCACATGAAAAAAGAAAAAAGTGCAGACAAAATCCAAAATAACTCTCCCTGAGCCAAATAAGAACGTGTAGCTGAGTCGCTAGAATTTTTTCTTCTTCTACGGAGCTCTCTCAGTTATGTAGTGTTAGTGCAACTACGAGATGGCTGTAAAAACAGACACGTGTTCTCGCACACTTCAGGAGGCTGAAAGAAAACCATACTCAGGGCACCAGCTCTAGGGGCAGCCTGTCTTTCTCAGTTGGCTCTGGGGCAAGGTCTTCTCTCACTTCAACATCTGGGAGCCTGGTGTTCCCTGGAGATTTCCGTGTGTCTAGGCATCAATTTTCCCCTGGGTCTAGAACCATGATTCTCAACCTTCCTAATGCCTCAACCCTTTAATATAGATCCTCATGTTGTGGTGA